ATAGTTTATTATCCCAAAATGTTTGTTTTGGTACTGTTAAAACGGCTTTGTATTCAGCTGAGACCAAAAGAGTGCAAATTCCTTCATGCCCTTAGGCACCTATGTGTAAGAATGTTATTTAAAATGAAAAGCAAACAAATGGCAAAGCCCAGAGTAGACCAGGGAAGGGAGGGGCCGAGTCTCGGGGACACAGACCTGCTTGGTGGAGCTGTGGGCTGGGGTCCGGGTCCAGTGAGTAGTTCAGTGCCGACTGCTGAGGTGAAGCCCAGGGGGAGACGCCGTTGATTTGGGAATCAGATTCGGGCTGGAACCACATTCAGAGGTTAGCACAGAGGAAGGATTCAAACAACTATTAAAGACAACATTTCCATTTCTAACTTCCCCTCCCTGACCTTGGATAAATGAATCACAAAGGGCCCTTTGCCCTCAGACATTTTCAAATACATTTTAACATCAATTGGGTGGATTCACCAGTATTCATGGAAGGACCAAGTGGCCCTTTCCTTCTGGTTTGGGCACCCTGAAGAACTTACTTGGTTATATGGCAAGATTTATGTATCAATATCAGTTTCATCCCTTAATTGTTCTATTATTTTTATGTTAATCAAGTGAATTTAGAAGCATGTTCCATTCATCTTTGAAAAGTTAGCACTGCTTCTCATACAGTAAATTTATTCAATTTCAAAATCAGCTCATTTATTATTTATTTATTAAGTCAATATTTAAGGGCAATACTGGAGAGTGGTTAAAAGCATGATTTTGGATTCAGCTGCTTAGAACTCGGTCATCAGAGCTGTGTAATTCTGAGCAAATTCTGCAACTGTCTGTGACCTGGATTCTTCATTTATAAAGTAGGGGTGGTGATAAGAGGGCCTGTGTCAGAGGGTTTGTGAGGGAGGCGACCCATTACTATTCCTAAAGCGATCAGAACAGGATCTGACACCTAATACATATTTCACAAAGGCACAGAGTTTGAAATGGCGATGGATACATTGAAAAGCACACAGTCGAATCAGAAAAGCGTGCTCCACTGTGTGGGGAATGCTGAAGTTACCATGCTTCCGATGCCGCTTTTCCCATTAAATCCATATTAGCTGGAGCCTGGTACTTTCGCTAGATTTTACTATCAGTGTTGAATTTTCCATCAACTTCTGGCATTCGTGCTAACTCATTAAGAAGAGTTAAGAGCCCTACAGTCTGGAATATACAGAGCCATTTAGATTTCCGATATCTCTGAAAGCATTCCTGTGCAATCTGAAGGAGCAGCGGCCATTAGGCAGCTCTGTCTGAGGCAGGTGGGGTGGGCGGAAGGGTGAGCAAAGAGCCTCTGTCTCCCTAAGAGCATCAAGCAGGCCACGGCAAACAGTTTTCAAGCACAGCTTTCTTCCACAACAATGCGACCTAGGTACTGGTTCGCATTAACACTAATCCTTTATATTCTAAATTTTTATTTCATTATATTCTAATTTCTTGATTTCAAGAGAAAAGCCCTCCCTCACTCAGGCACCGCTTGGAAACGTCAAATTCACAATACTAACAACATAGCTTTCCCAACGCACAGGAGTGGCACCAGGGTCAAAACCAAACAATCCAGAGGACTTGGAGAGAGCCAGGCAGGCTTTGGGGGAACAATTACTTATTTTCGAATGATGCACAATTCTAAAGTATACCTTCCCCAGACCGTCTCACGCAAAGTCTGAAACACTGACAGACCTATAGAAAGTAAATGGCCAAAATACAAGGAGTGATCTGTGGCTCACTGTGTAGGTAATGCAAAAATTACAGTGTTTTGAATGATTCTGACAAGTTAAAAGATACTGATAGCAATGATGAAAAGACAGTTTTTCTAAAATTTGAGAAAAATCGCTGGAGAGAAAGTTGTTTCTACTTTTTTTTTTTTACATTTTTATTGATTCATAATCATTTTACAGGTTGTGTCAAATTCCAGTGAAGTTGTTTCTACTTTTGATTCAAGAGATCATTTCTGGAGAAAGGCATTACTATTCGCTGCCTTGGGGCCCCACACTACACACAGGCCAGAGAAAGAGGCAGAAGATGACATGAATGTTGATGTCAGGGATTCTTCAAGAGAGAGAAGTTGCAGGCCCATTTGCTAGGATTCTACACAATAAGCACCTGCCACAAAGGCATCTTCCCTGCTAGTTCTGACATGATTCCTAGTCTCTAACTTTTAGATGTAATCAGGTACTTAATTCTCTGTAGTGTGTTGTCTTTACAGATGATACTATCTTGCTATATATCATTTTGTTATGGTCCCTAACAAGACTGCAGGGAACAAAAAGGCAGAAATTCTATCTGATGCTTCTCTCATATCTTAAAGAACAGTGTTTTTCAAAATTGTAGGCTATTACCCACTGATGAGTTATAAAATTGATTTGGTAGGTCCTGATTAGCACTAAGAAAGATAGAAAAAACGGGAGGAAGGGAGGGAGGGAGAAGCAGAGGAATAGAGAAAGGAGAGAAGGAAGGAAGGGAAGGAAAGAAGGAAGGAAGGGAGGAAGAAAGAAGGAAGGGAAAAAATAGAAAATAAGAGACAGCATTTCTGTATAACAGCAATTAGTATTTTGTATTTCTTATACGTGTACGCATTCATCATAATGCAAGTTGTATTTTTTTATCGTCAAGAAAGTTTGCAAACAACTGCCATAAAACCTGGTGCCATGTTAGGAAATAACAGCTGCAAATTAATAAACATCTGTTACTTAATTTCTTGAAAACGGCTCATTGGAAGGAGACTTTAACACAAAGGGTTCAGGTCACTTCCTTTCCCTTAATCTCCACAGATGTTTCCCAAATATAATTTATGCAGATGTATGTTATAGGATCTTTTCCCTTAAACTATGCAGAGCTGAGATAGATTTCAGTGTTAAAGAAGAATGAGCTATTCCATCTTAAGCTGGGGAAACATATTTTTTGGTGACAGTGAGGATTTAATGCTTATAATATTTGAGGAGGTACTTCTAAGCCAGTTTACCTATGGAGGTGAGAAACCGGAAATGAACCCCTCTACTGACCCTGGGACCCAGCCCCTGGGGGATGGGCCTGGGGGGGGCAGCGTGGGGAGGGGCGATGCCACGTCCTGCACACTCTACCTGCTCCAGCAGCTGCCGAAGTCGGTGGAGCTGAGACTCCAGCTGCTTATTGTGATCTTCTAAAATCTGCATCCTAGCCTCCAGCCGACCTTTGTGCTGCCTGAGGAGTTTGGCTTCTGCTATGAGTTCTGAATCCTCAGACGTGTGATGAGGAGAAACAACAGAGTCTGGAGGGGAGCCGACAGGGAGGCCCCTTCTCAGGTGCTGCTCTTTCAGCTGCTCATATTCCACCTGCAGATTTCTAGTGCAGAGAAGGGAAAACTGGAATTAGTGTTGTGTACATCACTGTCTCTCCAAAACTGTCCCTGAGCCTCAGTGTCGCCCATGCTATGTATTTCCTTATAGGTAAAAACATTTCTAACAATGAGAGAAGCAAGCATGAATAAAACTGCAGCTGCAAATAAGCACGCGTTCTAACAGACATCATTCCTGAACCCTGAAATGTAGCTGTCAGCTGCAGCCAGTAGCCCAGCACGTTACTGTCCTCCAAAACTCTGCCTCCACTGCACTTCCTGGACAATGGTCCTGAAAGAGAATGGGTAAGGGCCACGTGGAAGTGCATATGAAAGAATCCTCCATCAGAAGTTTTCCCAGGGTGACACAGGGGAAACCTCCTCTCCCAGGTCTAGCGCACCTTTGTTCTTCCTCCAGGTCAGCAATGATCCTCTCCAGTTCTCCGCGTTCTTCCCTTTCTACTGACTTCAGGATCTGAGCTGGACTCTGGGGCTGGCTCACCGGGGACTCCCCTCCGAGCGTCTGGCAGTACTGCTGGATGAGGGCATGCTCGTCCTCCCTGGAGAGACAAAGGAGACACATGCAAAGGCTCACATCTGGACATGGATGTCTGGATATAAGAGAAATAGAAACAATGATGGTCAGGACAGCTGCTGGGCCAAGCCTGCCTTAAAGCTCCGTGTCCCTGTAACAATGCCAAAAGAGTAGGCTCAAAGGCTGTTAATCAAAAGTAAACTGCTATACACGGAGTGTTTGTTTCCCCTTCCCCATATTCCTTTGTTGAAACCTAATCCCCAGTATAATGGTGTGTGGCTTTTGGGAGGTGATTAGGTCATGAGGGTGGAGCCTCCATGAATAGGATTAGCGTCCTTATAAAAGAGACCTCAGAGAGCTCGCTTCCTCCTTTTGCCATAGGAGGGAACTGCAAGATGAACAGGGGTGGAGTGGAGTGGGGAGGGGTGGTCCTTATCAGATACCAAATCTGCTGGCTCCTTGATCTTGGATTTCCCAGCCTCCAGAACTAGGAAAAATAAATGTTTGTCATTTATAAGCTGCCCAGTTTATAGCATTTTGTTAAAACAGTTCCAATCAACTAGTTGATCTCACTGTCTTTAGCATGTGGTTAACAGCAATTCTGTAATGCTTTGTAACCCAAAAGATGGTAGAAGATAATCCTTTTATTCTTTCAGGTAAATAACTTAGCACAAATTATAATTGTAGATCTTAATAAAATAGCTACAGATATTTTACTTAATGTTATTGACACATCATTTATAGGATCAACCATTCTCCTTTAAACAAGAAACTACATTTAATTCACTTGGGTTCTCCCACTTTTCTAACCACTTTTATAATGAACTAGACATATTAATAATGTGGTCAAACCTAATGATTGACAGAAACAGAAGCATAACAAAGCAAGCGTGCTTATGGGAAGGAAATGCTTATCGGCAAGCCTGGAATCCCTTCCCTTCTTTTACCAGAGATCCAGGCAGATCTTGTAAATGTGCAAACGACAAACCTCCTAGCTAATGCTAGCAGCAGAATCCTGCTATAGAATACCGTTAGCAGCCTGGACTTGGTCTGTTTTGATGGCTTTTGGTAAACAAATCTTGGAATCTATGGATTTGTATAGGATATGGCTTCAGATAAACATTTTGTAAGTTATATAGCTATCAAAGGATAAAATGGAGCCAATCCATGCTGAACCAGCTCCCTTCTGTGTAAGTGATACGACTGCAAATATTCCTTGGAGACCTCATCTGTCACACTGGGGTCAGAGCACATCCTAATGCAGCCAGAAGGAACCTAGTGGCGCAGGCAGTTCTGGACCTTTTGCTGAAGCCCTGGAGCTGATGAGCAATGCTTGATACTGGGTGAGGTCTCTGATTCTGTGACTTGTGAACGAAAAATATTGCAAACCATATCAGTAAACAAAGAATGCTGAAACCATCAAGTCATCAGTGGCTGCCGACACCCCCCAGTGAAGACAAGCCTGCAGCTCAGCCTCTGCAGCCACTCACAATGGTGCACTCTGAGGGCACTCAGAATAATAAAGGACAGGATACTGGCCCTAGATAGCTACATGCTTGTCCAAAGAATGAATTCAATGAGCCCAAATGTTTGCTTCCTCCCATACATGGAAAAGCACTAGATTCTTTAACTTGAGATGCCTGGTTTTCTTTAGATAACAAGTAATCTTTTATTGTTCCAACTACCTGGCCTTTGTTGTAAAGCCCCTATGTATCCTAGCTCCTCCCCTACCTCTTCGGAGCAGTCCCCCAGAGCCATCTGAGAGGCTGTCATCCCAGCTCGAGTCCTCCTGCCAAATAAAATACGACTCTCAACTTTTAGGCTGTGCATTTATTTCGGTTGCCAGAGTCTAATTTGAAAATCCAAACCTGTATTATCGCCATTGACTCTGATAAAGAGGAGACATGAAATTGCATCTGAGAGGTAGTGAATTCTTAGAAAAGGCGTGTCCTGTGCATTGAGATCAGAGCAGTATGAAGAAGCAAATGCAAATAATGAGTGTTCGGCCTGCAAAACAGCCAAAGCAGAGGTTCAAATGAGCCACCTGTTGATTTACTTTGCTTCCTTTATCAGCAAACCTACCTAACCTCAGAAGAAGGAGGAGCAGGACTCTTACAACTGGAAGAGCTAGAAACTGGAAATAAGACACTGATGCAAAGAACTGAAATAAACTGTGGAACAATTATTTGATTACTGGTCCTGCAAAAATGTGGTATCACTGTGAAATAAATAAGGGAGATTCTGGAAGAATTTCAGGCTTGCTCCTAAATTTAGAAGGATGGCAGTAAGAGAAGAGAATGGGTCCTGCAGCACTGCAGAGGAACAGTGCTTGAAAGCATGAACCCAGAGCTCCTAGGATGCCCATGTAGTGAAATCAAACAGAAACCTGGCAAGGAGGTCTGTGCCTGTGTGTTTGGAGGTAGGGGAGGGTATTTTCCTGATAGGGAATAAATGGCCAATACCCTAAGGCGAACTGCATTATGAAGGAGCAGAGAAGACTATGAGGCTAATGCATCAACACCACGGGGACAATACTTAGCTGCTAAGGATGACAAGACTCACTTCACCCAGTTTAAATGAAGAGAGAGGCCATAATAAGAGAAGACAAAAAGTACAGATCTAATATATGGACAGGACAAAGTATAAAGATACAGAGGGTACAAAATAGGTAATAAAATAAAAAATAAAGTAAAAGCAAAGGAAGAGTACAGCAGAACATTAGTAAATATTTCTCAGGCTGAAAAAGACGAGTATAGAAACTAAAAAGACTGAGTATCCAAAAAAGAAATAATAACAAAAGAAGAATGTTCACATACATCCCAGTGAAATTTGTATCTATTCAGGATAAAGCATCACAAGCAGTCAGCCAGAAATGAAAACAAAACAGTAAATCATTTGCAAAGAAAGAAAAAAGGGTTAGCCTCCTACTCTCCATAATAGTTAATGTCCAAAGACAATGGACAATGTGTAGAGTCCCAACCTAGCCATTCAGGACCAGCCAGGTCACATAAACGTACAGTAAAACACTTTGTCCATAGAGCAAAACAAAGAGCAAGGATGATGCAAAACAGGAAACAAAATTAGATGGTGATCTCAGATACTGCGATAAATAAGAGGTAAACTGATTCTCATATTGGTTAAAAAAATAATTAGATGATTCTTATGAATAATTCACCTCAAGAAAATTAAAGACCAAAGTTGTCGGAGCCTGCCGACAATCGATCAGGTCCAGAAAACCTGTGCTGCAGGACTGAGAAAGAAAGACAAGACTAAAAGGTGGGGTTGAGAGGGTCTCACTCTAGCCCGCAAGACGCTAGGTCAAGAGTGGACCTCAAGTTTATTTCAGGCAGTTAATTTATACAAATTCAAGTGACTACCTTGTGCATTCTTGCACGTAGGCACAGGTATTGTTCTTCAGGGTACATTAATGGTGCGCACTAAAATCATTATCATTGTTTACTGTTCCATACACCAAGATTGACTGATCCCCAAAAGCTAAGATCATAGACTAAGATTATTGTTCCTTTAGGCTAACATAATGACTCGTGTATCATTAGCTCAAGTGATTGTTCTTTCAGGCAAAGATCACTAACTTGTGGCCGATTGTATCTCTCTTTCCAGAAGCTCTTGTTCTTAATAACTCAATGGCATCAAGATGTTTTTCCGACTCCAAATGCACCTGCTGTTTTTCTAACAAAGGGGTGGCGGGACAGAGATTGTCTTTGCTCAATCAGCCTTAGAGCCTGACGCCCCGCACTCTGGGAGTTTAGGCCCAGTTTCTGTGCTCGGCAGCCCTCAGGTCATGAGTGGCCCCCCGCACAAAGTAAAAGTTAAATGAGGAGGAGGAGAAGAAGAAGGAGGAGGAGGAGGAGGAGGAAGCGAAGGGGAAGTGGGGAGAGGAGGAGGAGAAGAAGAAGAACTACAAAGAAGAATTAAAGGAAAGCTTGGGTCCTGTAAGCTCCCTGGCAGATCTATGACTGGATCACAGGCCCCCCCACCACAGAGCCCCTTCCATATCACAAGCACCATGAGACCATTCATGCCCTTAGAACACTTACCCCAGTGGGCACTTGACCTCAGGAATTATACTTAGTGCTCAATATTAACAGCAACTAAATACTTGTTTTAAGTATTTTGGGAGTATCCACAGTGAAACAAATATATACATAAAAGAGTCAAAATTAGATTTGAGATGCATCCTATTGCCAACATGTATACAGATTCATTTCTTTTGGGAACTTGATGGGGCAATTAACATTATTTTTACTTTTAATATAATTATCATCATGTCCTCTATCATTACGTTCTTTCAGTAAGGTATCTGGAAGGAAATTAAAGCAATTTTTACAAAGATAAGAATTTAAATATCATTTGTATATAACATATAATTTTAGTCTTAAGTGGTTTTCACAGACTATTGGGATAAAAGTTAAATATGAAAATAGATACATTCTAGTTCTTAATTATATATAATGAAGACCAAGAGCATACTCTTTAAATGCAGACAGCCATGAGGTACCAGATTAAGGTCATTTAACATCAATAGTGTGCCCAGTGCTAAAACAGAAAATGTCACCAAAATATAGGTCCGCATCAATGAAATACCATTAGATGGAATGTAATTATACCATATTTAAGTCATGAATAGTAAACACTATCTAGATTACAAAATCAGTACATAGCCAATGAAAAAAGAATTGTGATTCATACAATGACCTTTTGAAAACAGGCACAATATAAATAAAAATAACAATAATTTCCTTCCTTTAAAGGTTTGTTTTGTTCCAGGCTTCAGAGCTGCAAACAGCAAAGTGAGTGCAAACCAGGCCAGCCTCCGTCCCCCTGCCCCCTGCCCAATTTGATCCTTCCACATAAAACAGTGTCACTCAAGGGCACGCTGCAGATGGAGTGAGGCATCCTGATGGCAGTAACTAAGACTATCCTGGGTCCTGTCTCTTTCTCAGACATGGTTGCTCAATTCCTCCTTGAGAGAAAAGTAGTATCCTTAAAGTTAACGCCCTTTTAAATTGTCCAGAGTCCAGGGGAAAAGGGAGTACTGGGAATTGGGTTTATTTAGGGGTAAAAAGCCTTGAGACTGATTCATATCCAGGCTGGGGAGGCAGCAGCCCATGATGCATGGAGCTGCAACAAATTAACCAGTTTCACAGAAGGTGAGCGCTGTGAGGAGACAAGAAATTGGCTCATAGGCCAATTTACGGGACAGAGAAGGCTCACACTGCAGGGTAGGATGGTTGCTTCTGAAGATACAAATGAATAAAAAGGTCTTGGGTGATTAAGAGAGAATTACAAGTTAAACTCAAAATGCGTACCTCAAAGAGTAAGGCTATATTATTGCCTATGGTGGAGATGACCCAAAACCAAATTTAGGAGATTGAGCCTGCAAACGTTGAATTTACAAAATCCTCTTGTTAGGTGTGGACTGTGCAGCTGGGGCACGGATGGACACGGGCAGAATGGGGATAAGGACAGTGATGGCCTCCAGGAGGACTGGAAAGATCTGCAGATGCTCTGACCCTCCCACCACCTCTACTGCAGCGCTCCCTCGGGGGGGAAGCCCTCCCTTCCCGGAGCGGCTGAGGCAGCACAGTGAGGGTGGTCAGGCGTGGTCTGGATGTCCACACCGACAGCCAGGCCGCCTGAGTCCGAACCCTAGCCCCATCACTTACTGACTGCAAGAGCCCCGGCAAGCTCTATCACCTTGCAGGGTCTCAACTTCCTCATCTGTAAAATGGTGGAACAAGAGTATCATCTCAAAGGGTTCTGTGAAGATTAAACAAGTGAAGATGGGCAGAGGGCTTAGAATGAGCCTGGCTCTTAAGAGGCTCTATACCAAGGAAGAGATGGGGCTGTTTTTGCACCATCATCATCATCATTATTCAGGAGAAGCTGAATAATATTTTTACACCTCAGCTCAGAATATACAAAAACCTCAACTCAAGAAGGCCTGGGGGTAAGGTGGATTCAAGAAAGAAAAATTACAAGAATATTTTGGAAGTCTGTTAAAATGCCTTTTTTTCCCTTTTTTTTTTTTTTTTGCTTAAGGCACTTTGAGTTGGTTTTTTAATCTTTCCCAAGAACAGCCATAAAAATTGCTAATACTTTGATGTTGATTTGTCTCAAGACAGACCTGAGTATAAAACAAAAAGAGCCATGATTGCCTTGAAAAGCCACCGACCCTTCATCCAGAAGACAGCAATCCTGTTAGGTGGCCCTGGAAACTGTCATCTGTTATCTCCGGGGACTGTACCATGACCCTCCGGGTGCAGGGGCCTTAGGAAACGTCCAGGAAAAGGCCAGGTGTTAGAATATATTGCACACATATCTCCTGCTATGACAATAAGGTCCTGGAAGGAACAGACAAGCTTTGATCCACGCCGGAAGCAAAGAAGGATCACACTGTGTCTTTCTAAGAGAGTGAACATTTCTTCCTGTAGCCTGCGATCCAAGATGCTAAATTATAAGATGAGGAAATTGCTCTCATAAATCATGAGGAGCCCAAAGGAGATAATCATCATCCTCACTGAGATCATCAACCCACTGGGAGAAAAGGGATTTATTACAGTAATACTTTTTCACTTTGTCAAGTCAATAGTACAGATTTAAATGAAAATATTTTAAAAGTAAATATTATACATTTAAGGGAGAAAAGGTGACCATTTCATGTTAAACCATTGGATTTTAGGTCCAGAGTAGGGCTTCAATGGTTGAGTCCCTGTTAGCATTCTCACCTGAACGGCAGAACCCTTGCACGTTATGGGAAAAGAATCCCAGAATTCTCAGTAGCTCAAATTGTGAAAGAGCAAAGAACTGCCAGATTGGTTTTATCAAAATAAGATTTGCTAACACATTCATTAAGAAAATATTAATACACCAGTAACTGGAAAACAATTTCTCTTTAGTGGTTACATGTTCTTACACTATTAATTTAACCTCATACAGAGGAGAGTTTGTTTCCTTGCCTTTTCCGGCACCTAGAGGCCACCTGCATTCCTTCATTTTCAAAGCCAGCAGAGTAGCCTCTGTAAAATCTCTATGTCTGACCTCTGCTTCCACAGTTACCTCTCCTGCGCTACCTCTGACTCTCCTCCCTCTTACAAAGACCCTTGTGATAACATCGGGCCCACTCCATCGCAAGATCCTTGATTCAATCACACGGGCAAAGTTCCCTTTGCCACGTAAAGTGACACATTCACAGGTTTCAGGGATTAGGATGTGGACTTCTTTGGGGGCCCATTATTCTGTCTCCTACAGTATTCCCTCGCCATGCTGCGCCCCTGTGGGAGCACTTATCTCCTCTAGTCTGTAAGATTCGTGAAGACAGGATCTACCTCTGCAGACCTTTACAGCACTGGGTGCGTGGCCGCGGTGTGTTGCTCAATGTTTAAAAGCAAGCTCTCTAAAAGATAAGTAAATTAAAAGGCCCTGATGTGAAGCATTTTAAATTTTTACGGCTTAAAATACTTTCATCAAGGCCAAATTAAGCTAGTGACTTGACTAAACGTGGAGCTGGGAAAAGATACACAGTTACACACCACCTGACACCCCCAAGAACATACATAGCAATAAAATATAGGAACATAATTAGGACCTGATGAGTTTTGAGTCTTACTTTTGTTTTTATTTTAATCTAAGCTATTGAATTGCAAAGTGCACACAAACAAGTTTCTAACAATAGCTCTGTTTAACCAACAATTTACAAACTTCTGGCATATTTACCAACCAGCTCTCACAGTTGGCTCCAGCACACCACTGCAAGGTAGGGATGCAGTAAATATTTGCTGGATGGGTGAATGAGTTAACGTATCTACTGACAGTATATTAAGATGTATTCAGCCGTTAATCATCTGATTGTTTTTTCTTTTCTCAGACATTAGTGCTAAATTTGAAAATAGTGTTTATTCTGATTTGAAGATAGCACATATTAAATTTGAGCACTGCTTTTACTCTGTTTACACAAGGTATGACAAACACATTTTAAAGAATTTAAATTTGGTTTTAATTATTTTGGTTTTAATGATCATTTTTTGACTTTGTTTAATTTTTTAGCCATTTGCCAACCTTGGTGGACATTATGTTGATTTAGGATGCTCAAGATACTCAGCTATTTTACATGAATTACATACTAGGAGATTAAATATGAAACAAACATGATGAATATGCTACTATCTTGGTTTGGGAATTGTTCCAAACTCACAGTACATTAATAATAATGTACAAATCACTACTACATTATTATAAAGTATTAACATGCTAATCTTTGAAATTTAAAAACTGAAGAATCTCCTGAAAACTTTTCTTGGTAAGGTTAATGATAATAAAACAATTTTTTAAAATATCGACAAGAAAATATTCTATATCAGACTGCCGAAGGTATTTCAACTTGGCTCTCTCCATGGTCTTTTTTAGTTTAAAACACCGGAGTACTATAACATTCCTGGCTACTTGACAGCTTCCCACCAGATCCAAACCACAATGAAGCTCTGTGAGTCAAGTAAACTCGACACTACTGAAATCTTTTTAGGCATCATTTAGAATTTAAAATGTTAATTTCAAGGTGGTAGAGGGTGGGAAAAGTTTTAAAAGCAAGATGTCACACAACAGAGGGAGGATCAGAGATAAAATATCTGCCTAGAAAGGTTTTTAAAAAGTACTCTGAAGTTCACGGGGCTTTTCCTGGTTGCTAATAAAATACAATATTGGCAGAGGAGTTAACACTTTTCAATGAAGGGTGGGAAGTATATATATGCCCACAAGTGTGTGGGTCGTAACTGCCAAATGGCAGGGATTATGGAGAAAACGGGGGCACACGGAAGGAAAAGGATTTCATAGCAGGGCACATATTCGGTGGAACTACATTCGTTAAATTAACACAAACTATGAGACAAATGGAATGAAGATCTACACCTGTATTTATAAATAAAACAATCTGATTTTTCAGAGGTAGATAAGTTGCCAATCGTAGGGTTTTTTTCATTAACTCGTATGAAACTAAATAAATAAACATATCCAAATTATACTATTATGGCTTGAAAGCATAAAATCTATGCAGGCATTTTTATAACCACACTTATCAATTTTGATTGGGATCAAAATTCAGAGCCACAATCAATGTAGATTATTTCCGACAGCCACAAAACGAGAACCAGGAGCCCCAGTCATCACTCATTTCATGATTTACTTACACGCTTCCTGTGGTAGAGCTGCTGTCCGTGAGGAAAGACCCATTAGTCCGTTCCATTTGGGCCAGTCTGAGAAGTGGAAACAAGGCAGTTAGAGAACGTGGCCACACAGGGCAGAGTCAACTGGTGGTGTATCCGCAGTCTTTCCTAAACTGTCCTAATTCTCACAAAATACAGAACGGTCAAAATCCCCTCACAGGACTGCAATCAAAACAACATCTAATGTCAAGTTATACTTCTATCATCACTGCCTTACCAAGGGATCGTCTCCTATATTATGTTAAAATATGTATGTTATATATCATGTTATACAGTCTCCTAATAGACCTAGACATCTAAAAGTCTCCCAGATCCTAAGCCAGTCTTCATTTGTACACAAGTCTGACTATGTCCCTCTCATGTGGAAAAGACTTTACTTGACTTCGTTTATCTAAGAACAGAACCCTACTCCTTAGGAAGTGGGCTCCTCATTATCTGGCTTCGGTTTCTGCCCCTTCGCTCCTTCTTGTCCTTTCCCCTTTCTCCACCTGCAATCCTTTAAATAAACTATGTTCTTTCCTAGTTCAACGCTTTTGAGTATGTTTTTCCATTAATCCAACCTTGGCTTTTCCCCAAAATTCGATGTGGCCAAGACTCAGTTCAAATGTTACTGTTTTTATTGCTTAAACTAACCTTTTAAGGTGTAACTAGTTACTAGTATCACCAATACTTGGTATATACTATTTTTTTTCCCTGAGAATTTGTACACATCAATACCAGCGTATGCTTTATATTGTTTGGGGACTCTAAAATAAACCCCTATAATAAAGAATTAGCATAAATTTAATTACATAATGTAATTCATACATGCACCATCTCCTGAGAACACTTTCAATTCCTACTTTCATTCACTGAAACTGGGTTACATTCTCTAAATCCTGCTTGCACAGTGTCTGGATTCTCATGAGCTCAGTAATCACATCCTATGGAGATTTCCTCCAAAGGATGTGTAGCAGGTGTTCGGTAAAGTGCAAATTACAATTTGGAAAGCTGAAAGCCCAGATTTCAAACACCATGACTCCTGCAAAACGACATTCCTTAAATCAAGGCATGTTAATGACAGAAGATTAATACAGAAAGAGACACATTCTGAGCGGTGGAGCAGGAGAGGGCTCGTCCCAGAGTTTCTTACCGAGTAGCATACTGTTCTATTCTTGAATGGGTATCATCATGAAACAGCTGAGGAGACTGTGAGGGGCTATAAAAGAGAAAGCAAAGAAACAGTTTTATGCCCAAATATTGATCGATGTTACGATTAGGAATGTTAGCTTAGTTACATAATGAATTTGCCATGCAAACAAACCACTAGGATTGTTACCCAGGAGGCAGAACTATTATTTTAGAACAGGAGTTTAGTAATCACCGCATGCTAATAAAACTGATCAGAACATCCGCCTTGTGCATATGGAGCTGTGAATACTCACTCGTAGTGCTCTGGCCACATACTGATGAGTGTGATAGGACTGCAAAGAGGGGAGAGGGAAACAAAAACCACAGAACAAACACTTTAGAGCAATTTAAGACAAAAGCAGCAGGCAGGGTGGGGTGGGGGACGTTCCCAATTGTCCTTCACTCCTATATTTGGTTGCCCTGAGGTCCACCAGGAAGAAATCAAAAGTAACAGAAGTGATTGTTTATTCTAGAGAAGATGCTGTATATTTAAGTGCCTGCCGGGGCCTTTTCACAGCTATTACAGGACATTTGTTATAGACAGCAAAGACATCTTTAAATAGTCTTACTGAAGAAAGAAACAGAATGCTATAAAATAGCTGAAAATTATGGAATAATTTTTAAAATACTGTTCCATAATATACTGAAGAGAGATGCAATCATATTTTTGTTTTTTCTGGAGAAGAACCCTGATCAGAAAGGTAACATTAATTACTCAAGACCACATTATATACTGATGGCAGAGTTGCAATAAAATGAGATTTCTCTGATTCTTTGCCCAATTTTAAATGTAAAATTCCAAATCCAGGTGTACACAGAGTATTTCAACCTCACAAATACACTGAAAAAAGATACAATCTAGATGCTCCTCTCTACACCCAGCCCAAAGTTTCACATTATCACTAGAACTGAAAGCAACTTTTCTGCATCACTATACACTTTCTTTAAATAAAATTTTATCCAGAAGTCCAATCAATGAAACTGAAGAAAAGAAATATGGGCTGCTTGAATCAGAGCTTGAGACTGGAACTTGATTTTTCCGTATCCCTCCTAGTCCTGGAGGTGCCCTCCCATCTCACAGAGCTGCCTAGAACTCCCCAAGCTTCCATGCAATACCGTTTGAAAACAGATGATCCTAATCAAAAGCTAGTTCAAATTCTAACCTTTTTTTTGGCAGGGGGGCAGAGGGAGAGAAATACTGATGAATGTGGAAATTTAAAGTTCCAAAGAAAATCAGTTGTCTAATTGAAAAAGTCCCCTGCAAAAGCTAATGCTGATTGAAACAAAGAGGAAGGAAAGTTTAATTTTTTCTAGGTCTAGAGCTACCTGATTCTCCTGTTTCTATAATAGATACATACTTAAGAAAAAGTTAATGATCTCATTATCTCCTACTGGGAAGCAAATGTTGATGTCTGCATAGCAAAGATTAAAAGAAAATGGGAAGTCATCTTCATGAATGAAAAACCTAAGACTCTTTGGACCTACTTTGAAAAATAGGCATTTATCCAGTCTGGGTTTGTCAGAACATCCAGTCTGTAAATAGACTTAATTATCCATGTGTAAAATGATACAACAACAATGAAACAACACAGTATTCAATAGCCTTTTTACATCACTACTGTTTATTAACTCTGAAATATGGATGTTAAATGTCAGGTAAATGATTTGCTCTACACTTTCTAAATAATAGTAACTGCTCAAGAGATTATTGCTAAAATTCAAGTGTACCGCAACATTGGCCGTGAGCTTGAAACATGAGAAAACTATGTATTTTTTCGTCTTAATCGAACTTGGAAAAGCTGTGTGGAACTGCTTGACTGGTTCCTGCAAAGTTAATTCGGTTAGCACAATAGTGATTCATTGAACTAAGATAAGAATGGCAGAGGCAGAAAGCTGAAATGAACCTTTCTCAAAAGAAGGTTTTTTATATATTGCGAAAATTTCTAAGGGAAAAAATAAAGATTAAAAAAATCAAACTTTAGGCTTTAATGACTTCACAGTACTTTGATTTGTTGAAAAAAAAAGTTAAATGATAAGCTTTCTCATTTAATTCTACAAGAAAAACACAGGGCGGTATTTTCCCTGCATAGTTAGAATCTGTGATTAAAGGGGGTTAAAAGTAAAACCGATCTGCATGTTCGCCTAGACTTCACAGTGCAGCCTATCGCTGCTTCCCAGAGTGGTGGCTGAACAGGGTGTTTTGGTTAATCACACACTAATAGGAAAGGACTCAGAACCTACTAAATACATTTAATAATGTATGAAACATCACTCAGACTTCCTTTGAAGAATGTAGTGACTCTTCTAGTGCCTTACATTCTCAGCAGGCTGCTCCTTACGCTTCCCATCATTTTACCTTCTTAAGTCCCACTGTCCCAGAGCAGAGTAAGTGCTGGCCCGCGTGTTCCAGCAAATAAACCTTCGGTGGCTCCCCACTGCTCTCAGGATAAACTCCAAACTCCTTGGCATGGCTGACGTGGCCCATTATCTGGTTCCTGCTTTTCTTGTCACTCTCCTTGCTTGTCCCTGTTCCCTGCTTCCCATCCCAGTTTCCAAAACAATCTTGTCTTCTGGCTTTTTAAAACGTTTGCCTTGCCTGGAAACTCTCCCTCTCCTCCCAGGGCACCCAACATTGAGCGTTTGGCCCCATTAATCTTTCAGTTCTCAGGTTGGGTGTCACTTCCTCCCAGGCCAGTGCTCTCATAGTTGGTTCGTGCTACAGTAAGAACTTTAAAAACCATGAAACTCATCTATTCCACCTTAACCAACACCAGGGAGAGGTGTTTATTTGAGTTCGCCTAGTCTTCAGGGAAACCAACCTATCTTTTTAGCCAATACATCTCTCTCAGTTCTCAAATTACTTTGCCATTATTTGAGCTTGTTTCTCAGGTTTATTTTCAATGGTAACTCTTTCACCAAGCTCTACTCATTTATGTTGATTTATTTTTTAAAAAAATTGCATAAATTGTTATAAAATTAATTGAATAAACCTAGGCATGGTTTTGTTTACCTCCTTTTAATAATAACTCATTTTCTCCATAAATCCCTTGCACGCATGCACGTATGATTACTGGATGGAGGATAAGACATGTCATTTTTCAGAGGTGAGAGAGAAAGAAGCAAAAGAAAATTCTAATCAGCTTCATAAATAACTTCAACACATTTACCACTTCGCTGGTTTTTCTCCAGTCTTCTCCTCCCACAAATAGAAGAACAAATGAAATCAAACTTTTTACTACCCACTCACATAAATTGTTACACCAGAATATTAAGTGGCCTTGTACTGGAAAGGGCTCAGTAGAAAAATGAACTATACTGACTCTAAGAACGCGTTCTAGGATTAAAAAAAGGAAGAAAACCTGCCCACTGTATACAGTAGCTCATAAATCTTTTCCAAAAAGGATCTTGTGGCATCTGATTTAATCTTATACTCCTTTTCTTTCTCTTGTTTTCCTCTCACTGAAAATACTGGTAAATTCATGTTAGATGAAATGAAGCATCTTCAGAGTTACAGCCAAAAATCATAGCACACGATTATTTGGCACATTTTTCTGTTCTTTTTCACTTAACTGAGTCACTCAGAATAGAATGATTGATGTCAGTGATTAGTTTGACACTGAAAGGTAAATTATCAAAATTGCTTAAAAGGAGTATAAAAGATCTATCTATCTGCAGGATTCATATGAAGGATGCAGGCATTTGGAACATAAAACGCCAATGGTTTATCAAAAGAGTGGAAGGCACATCACTAGTTCCAACGTACCAGACTATCCTGTAAATAGAAGCTCTGAGTGATAATTCTATGCTCAGGCAGTTACTCCTAAGGTTATTTAGACCTGATACCACGAGAAGTACAATTTTGTCTTTATTAGAAGGTGCTCAGCATAGTTAGCCTATTTATTAGAATCTAAAACAAATAAGAATGCATTATCTTATGACCTTTTGAAAAAAAGGGGAAAAACATACCCACAAGACAAAGAAGGGACCAAAAACTACCTTTCCTTATCGATTTTAAGTATGTGAATAGTGTCCTTCCAATTGAAATTGCTTCAGTAAAATTTCTTCTAAAGTAGATGGTGGAAAAAAATAACTGGGAGGCATATATCTTAGTTGCACGGAGTTCATATCAAAGTTATCAAAAGTTGGTATTTTTTGGTATTTAAATGTAAATGTGGCATTTTGGGACCAATCTAGCTACATAGACAGCTGCATTATATTTCTTTCTGCAGGCAAACCTGTAACATTACCTATAGAGAGATAAATAAGGCTTACTATAAAGCTTGGCTGCTTTGAAAAAAAAAAGGACATAAATGTAGCAAAGCCCCTGGTATACAAGGTTTTATATGGAAAAAATTTTGAACTAAATAGTCTATCCCTGTATTTTGACATCTTTGAGACATGGACTGCTAGGATAGAGAGGACTATTCCGATTCTCTGATGATCTCTCATTTATACAATAAAATGAACTATGAGTTTTGAAGGCTAAATGTTGACACATTTTTATACTTCTTACTACAATTTTCTCTACTGTGTCAGGTTAGAAAATGCCACCCTTTGGAGCTTCATTTTTGTAGTCACTTGAGAAGGCATATTTCTGTAAATGGAACTTCACTGTTCTTTATGGCTAGCACTCTGGTGATGATTAGCAATAAAAGTTCATTTTCCGTCAGATTCAAGCAAAAGAAAATTGCCTTGGCAGGCATATTTACGCTGATATTTTAAAAAGTGATTCAAAGACGTAAAATCATATTTAGTTTGATCTTGATATATAATTGTTTTGTAATTTAAAATTAGTCCCTGCATTTCTTCTGGCTCATTTAAAATTTTCTTTTTCTTTTCACTTCAGGGTATAAATTGTTATTCTTTGCTTTATAATTCCATAGTAATTTTGCTACTTGAAACTTTATTTATCTTTGTAAACTCAAATTATATACTTTTAAGAAATTTCATCTATTACATGTACTACAAGAAATAGTAAAAACATCCTACAAAGAGGGGAAAATGGAAAAGAAATAAAATGAAAAAGCATATAATACGACAATTTGCTTTAAGTTTTTTGTAAGAGTGAAAGAGATGACCAATGTGAAGTTGAGACATTAGTACATATTTTTAAAGTTTAGGAACTTACACAAAATTAAAACTGAAAATTTTGCTGTAACATTGTCAAAAGCAAATACTCAAAATTCATGTTGTGAAGATTGATTCCAAGTTGATTTTACCTCTTTTAAAATGAAATATTTTACAAAAACACAAATTCCTTTTGGTATCAGACAATTTCTCTTTTGTCACTAACATAATAAAAGACAGTATCAGTTATAAGAACACATACAAGTTTCATTATTAAAATTAAACTTACGTTTCTAAGTTGTCACCTTCAAGAACTGTCTGGACTGGCAGGTAGCCAAGCCGAGGATGTTTGGCAAAGTATTTCTTTGATCTGAACTTATTCTTCAGCACCTTTGTGAAGTCTCGTACATCTTCCCCAGATGTTGTCTATGAGGTTGAAAAAAATTACACTTTTGTCATTAAAATGGAAGGAGACAACTATCCACAATCAAATTGAAGCAGACGTAAACTGATGCAATTAAATGACAGCAGTTTCAGTAGCTTAATGTATTTCTGGAATAACACACAATGTCCTGAGAACACATGGCCATCAGCACTCATCATTAAATACACCCAGCAATTAGTCTATAATTTTTAATTTCCTGTTGAGAATAAACCATAGATAGCTCATTTTCCCAATATCTTAAAAATTGGGCCAAAAAGTAAAATTAGTTTTGGGCAATGTTATTGGTTGATTCCTTTCTCTAAAAAAGTTACAATTTGCTATTAAACACCTGGAGATAATGAAGTATTCTGGATATTATATGGTTTTAACTAAGGTGAATAAATGAAGGTGAACTACATATGTAGCCTGTACTGACTTCACAAGCCAGCATAAATCATAGTCTGGACAAAAGAAAGTAATACATAAGGGAGAAAGAGGAGGGCCGCACTGGTGCACTACAGTGCAAGGAATACTGTCAGATTCTTTGTTCTTTCCCAACCATACAAACGTATAATTACTTGACATGGACTAAATTTCTAGTGGCAATATAAAATGTTACTTTTTTAGGCATTTCAAGATGATTAGTTAATAATCATTTAGGGTGAAGTGGGCTGAAATCTGCCTGAGCCTCCACCCTCCTCGTTCCTTTCCATGAACTGTTCTCTAAGCTCCAATTTTCTAATTCTTATCATCAATTCTAGTTTTTACTTGGAATGTGTTAAACAAACATCAAGGTTAGTCCTTCTTAAGATGTATTTAAAATACAGAACTGAGCTAAAACCTTGGTTGTCTGACTCCTACTTGGCTTTCCTATCTATAATTAGACAGACCTCACTCCAATCTCTTCATGAAACAAAATCAGAGAACTTATTTATAATAACAAAGGGAGTGCCAAATACTTTGACTTACCCACTGCCTGCTCTCCCCAGCCCTTGCACCCTCCCCGATCTGTCTTTTCCCTCATGACAACCATGCCCAGGTGTCATACAAACTTGTTTTGCAAATGGAAGGGAAAAGAATATAATTATTTTTTAAAACAACTAATTTCTGAGTCAACCCTTATGTAGTTTTGCTACTTTCTATTTGCTCCCATTTCACCTAAATATATCTTCTTCTAGTAAACAATTAAGGGAACTTTTAATTCTCTAAGCCTGCAGAGCACAGAGAAAACAAATCAGCCCAAGCTATTTATACATCAATTTTTACCTTATTAAAAAATATATATACACAGCAAGCACAACCCATACACAGCCCATTAGGCCTTCCTATCAGACCCACAATGTCAAATCTTTTCCTGAATGACAAAGAATAAACTATCAAATACCTGCAATTATATAGATACAAACTGCCCAAAATGTAAAGTGTAGAAAATAAGCCATTAATGAAAAAAAAAAAAGAATCCAAGACACTCTACAGAGGAAAAAAGGGTTGCTATGAAATGACAGTTTGGGTTAAAATCTATAACCAGGCAGAACAGGAGAGAAAAGCAGAACACAGTTGGGAGTAAAGAAGGAAATATTTAGAGACATAATACCTGGGACCGCGAATAAAGCCAAAAGGATATATCACTTACTATAAAGGACATTCGGACCTTTAGCAATGGGTATCACAACTGCAGATCATTAAGGTTATAGGTATGTTTATCCTGAATGTTTTGGTAAAGAGAAAAAAAAAAAAAAAGGAAGCCGCTTTCCATGACAGAAATACAAAAAGAAGCCTCCTATGCAAGAATAAGCATTTATGACCCAATTTATTTCTAGGTCCGCTCTTAACACATTGTTAATATACAGGCAGCTAAGGAAGTAATGGCCCCCAGCTTTTACTTGGTCCATTTCCATCTGGCAATAAAAACATTTTCATTGGTCAGGCCAGTGGTTGTCAAGTCACATCCTGGTCTTTACCTCAGGCAGCCCTGAGTGGGCTGGGTGGGCAAGGCACCAGGCCACCTACCCAGCTGGCCTCAGCCAGGACAGTGTCCAATATGGTGCCTTTCAGTATATTCACGGCGTTGTACAACCATCACTACTATCTCATTCTAGGACATTATCGTCACCTCAAAAGGAAAGCCTGTGCCCATCAGCAGTCATTCCCACCCCCATCCCCACCCCCATCTCCTCCCCACAACCACTGATCTACCTTCTGTTTCTATGAATTTGTCTCTCTGGACATTTCTTGTAAATGGAATCACATAATACATGGTCCTTTGTGACTGGCTTCTTTCACCTAGCATAATGTTCTCATAGCTTATCTATATTTGGATTTCAATGTGATCTCTTGCTTGGGGAAAAAAAAACCCATCATTCAAAAGTACAGGTCCAATTGCACATCATACATTCTTTAGAGAAATACATTCAAAACATGGAAGAGCAAAGCAAAACCAACCAACCAACAAAAACCCTCTCTGTCTCACAAAAAGCATAGAAACAAAGCACCTGCCTGCCTCCCAAAACATTACAGCAGGGGCTGAAATTAAATTAGAGTTTCTGCTAATGCTCCAATTGAGTATTTGGAAAAAATGAGTGCATTCTCATACAGAGAATGCTTACTGAGGGGAAAAAAACTACCACCTACAGTTGTAATCTAAAGGCACCAAATTCACTAATGACATACTCTTCAGTGAAAAGTAACTCATCCCACAGGAATGTGACTCTTCAGTTGGGACAGACCCATGAAAATGAATTGTGCCCATTTTCTCATCAAAAAACTTAAAATGTAACTGTACATATTTGGTCTAATTTGCTATCTAATGACAGGACCTAACATTTCTCAGTTCTAAGGTGCTGGAGTTACAGTTTGATAAAAAAACAAAATGGAGGACCATCCATCTATCATAGTAAATATAATCAAAGTCAACTCCATCTTCATGCTAGGTATCATACTTTATTCTTTTTCTTTTTTAAGCAAATAACTACTGATGTTATGATATGAAGATGAAATTGAAAGGCTTACTTATTACTATACAATTATGAAATATTTTAAGTGATCCATGTATTCCTTGAAAGACCTGGTTTTCATTCATTGCTGTAAAAAAAAGAAAGGAGACCAAAAGATTTTGTAGATCTCGTAAGATGAAACAAGGGTAATGTATTGGCACAGAACTCTGCACCTTATAAACAGCTTTCCTTTAATCTCTTTTTACCATCAAGGATGGTAAGATTATCATCACTTGTTTGACTCATAAGGAAACATACTAAAGCTTTCAGGGATTTAGACCTACAATGTCAGTAAGGAGAGAGCTGCTCTTGCAAACCTGGGTCTTTTCAACATAGCAGCACTATGTCACTTCTCCAAGAAAATAAACAATTATAAGTTTTGTAAGAAAAGAAGTCATAGTCAGTGACTAAAATATCTATTATTACATTCTGAATTTTCCCTTTATTTAAAATAAAGTACTGCTAAGATACCCTGTGGCTGATTTTTACAAAATCTATATTGAAGCGTCACTTTGTAACTTTTAAACTGCACATAAAAGACATGTTTGTTGTAAGTACAATTAGAAAAAAATACAAAAGAAAGAGAAAAAAGAGAAATGCTAAAATTGCCTGCTCTTCTGCCACCCAGGGATAACCACTCTTAAAATGCTTGTGACCGGAATGATTTATTTTTAAACTCTTTTTATTGTAAAATAAAACACAGATATATAAAACTATAGACAACAAATACATGGTTTAGTACATTATTATACAGTGAACACCATCCAGTCAGGAAACTGAACTTTGTTGGACATTCCAGAAGCCTCCTGTCATTCCATTCCAGCCTCTATTCCAGTCATATTCTGCCCCCACGTCCATAAAACCATTATCCTCATTTTTATAATAATTACTTCCTTATGTTTTAAAAATAGTTCATTGTCTGCCTTAGATACTACAGTTTAGTCTAGCTCATTTAAAAAATCGAATAGAGGGGAGGGTATAACTCAGTGGTAGAGTGTGTGCTTAGCATGCACAAGGTCCTGGGTTCAATTTCCAGTAACCTCCATTACATAAATTTAAAAAAAAAATCTGATATATCTTAAAATACTTTTAATCTACCAGGTTTCCTCTCCCCACTTGGCATCTCCTTACAATATAACTGTCGGAAAACTCAGGCAATTCGAACTGTAGAGTTTTCTAGGGTCCGGATTTTGCTGGTTGAAGATTTTTGGCACAGTTCAGCATGTTCCTTTGGATAGTCTGCAAATTGGCAGCTGGATCCGAAAAATGAAAGAGACTCAGGTTCGCTCTTTTGGCAAGATTATGGTGGTGTTTAGTAGGATTTAGGAGGCACATGATCCTAGCAGCTGTCATGCTAAATGCCTATGCCCATCCAAAGGGAGCTTCAGAATTCGGATATTATATCATTCATTTTTGGTTGAAACAGTTTTTTAAAGATACTCCCCTCATCTATTTAGTCAATTGGTAGGACAGTTCATTCAGGAAAGGCAAGATTACAGGTCTTATTTTTCCCTTTTATTGACCATTTTCCCTGTAATGAACTGGTTTCCTGTCATTTTCCAAAGGTGACCAATTTTTAATTTATTTTAAAATATCATTATGAATTCATAGATTAACATACTTGATGGGTTTTGATCTACTGCAATTACAGTTGATCCTTGAACAACATGGGTTTGAACTACACAGGTCCACTTACACACGGATTTTTTTCACTAAGTACATATTATAGCACTACACAAACCGAGGATATGAAGGGCCCATTGCAAACAGAACTTATAAACATGGAATTTCCACTAGCCAGAGGGTTGGCGCTCCTAGCCCCTGAGTTGTTCCAGGGTCAAATATATTACCATTATTGACGATCAAACTGTCCCCCATCTTTGGCCAGCTGGAACCTCTTCCTGGTTGTTGCATCTAGTTTAAGCTCTCCAGATAACAAAATATTCAGTGCTCTCCATCAGTCCTTAGGATGTTGTTTCTCTAGTTAATTTGGCTGTCTGAAGGCTGGT